TACTACGACTCAATGTTTGAGCACTCAAACAAGTGAGGGAGAACTAGAACACGAGATGAACACAGAAAGAAAGGGAGAAAGATGAGCAGAGTTTTGTGAGCAAAAACGTAGGCAAAGATTGTATATCAAATCTGTTGCTCAACCAAAGATTATATAGGAGAAGGGAGGATGACTAGCATTTATCATGGCATTAAAACTGATAATAAAATCAGTCTGGATTACAATGTCATTTTTATGCTATTTTTTCACATATATTTTTACCACAAAATAGTTGCTTACAATGCCATTTTATGCTATTTTTCAACAAAATAAGTCTGGATTACAAATATATCAATAAATGGATCTTTTCAAATATTATGGAATAAAGGTCAAATAAATTAATGAGTTTTTACCGAAACAACAATAAAGTTGTCAAACTTGAAATGAACAACTAAAACTTGATATAATTGTGCAATTGACATTTTTAGGCAATCACCTTCACTTAAAAATTGGTAATTGTTAAATGATTTGTTTGGTTGTCAAATTACCAAACTCAGATGGTTATGTAAACCATTAATGGGAAATTAGTGGCTAACATTTTGTAAATTTGGAATTAGACATTTATTATCTAAAGAGCACATACAATTTTTTTTTTTTTGGTGTAACTCAAGATTTCTACCGTCGGACACAGTGACTAATACCCAATTAAATTATAGGCACATTTACTGGGTGGGATAGCTGGCCTGAAAATTTATAGTTGCTCCATACCCAAAATCAAGGATCAAACCTTTGACCTTCAGTTATGGATGAGTGAGTCCCTTTCTACTTAACTATGCCCCAAGTTAAAGAAGACAATAATTATATCATGAACCATAAATCCATAATACATATAGCAACATACACCCCATACATTTTCTCCTTTAACTTTTTTTTTTTTCAACTTAAATTCATGTTTATCTTTTTCTATTTGTACAAATAAAATTAATGTATAAAAAAAATATGGACTATATCATTAAAAAGTTATAGTTCTTTTAAATGATACTCATATTGATATATTTTAAAAATTTTTAAAAATAAATCTATAAGTACATAAAATCATTATTTTAGTGTAATGTTTATGTACATTAAACTTTGTTTTTATGAACATATAGAAATATTTGAATCTACTACATTGTGATGAAAATAGATATGATGTACATGAAATTTAGTGTTTATATATGTACATTAAGGTTATGATCATATAAAACAAATATTATGAACATATAGTCAATAATGAATGTTATTAACACGATGCATCTGTAATGCAATTTTATGTACATTAAACTATGTTTTTTTATGAACATATAGAAGGAACACTATAAACCAATTATAGAGTGGATGAAAATAGATATGATGTACTTGCAGTTTAGTGTCGTTAAGTTTATGTACATTAAGATTTATGTTTATAAAGATATATATAGAACAAATATTATGAATATAGTATTTCATGAATATTATTATACATGATGAATAGTTGACGCCGTTAACGACTTAATATAAAATTACGTCTTTTAGGATCATGATCCATTATGCAAGGTAGCTCATTGTCCACGATATAAAATTGTGTCTAAAGAGAATCTTCATCCATTATTATAAGGTTTTAAAATTACACAGGATTTTCATGTTATAATTTCACTACGTTATTGCTTTAAGTATGTGTTTGGTATTTCAAATCCAAATTATTGTTGCTTTCGCGATAATTATAATATTTCAAAGACCAAAACTCATTTCTCACTTTTAATGTTTTTATATAAATAAATTTTCCTACATTGTCAAACTATATCTTGAGTTGTTCAAGTAAGAAATAATGTTTATTGTGTTGCCATTAAATTTAATTACTTTATTGTGCACAAAAAAAAAAAAAAAAAAAAAAAAAAAAAAGAGTCTAACTCCGTAATAATATCTTATTTTAATTAATGTTTTAAGCCATATATTTTTGAAAGTTTTTAAGTTATGATAACTAAAATACTTGATCTATAATGTACAATTATTTTTTTATTTTTTATTTATTTTTACACCGGGTAGTATTAGTTTTTTTCCGAGCAAATTTCAATTTTGGTCATATGACTATAGGGGTCTTGTTAATTTCAGTTCTTGACTTTTAAAAGTGTCAATTTAGTACCTTAACTATGCAATTTTTGTCAATTTTGGTCACTCTGGCTAAATTGCCGGCTAAATTTCGCTTGAAAATTTTAATTGTTTAAATAATGAGGGTATTTTGATCATTTCACGTCTCTTTTCTTCTTCCCAAGCGAGTCCATCCCTTCCTCTCCCGTTTCCGGTGAATGCAATTAACTAAGATGACGAGGAAAGGAGGCTTGATGATATTAAAGATAGGGTTTAGAGGGAGAAAGAACGCCGGAAACGGGAGAGAAAGAGATGGACTCGCCAGAGAAGAATAAAAGAGGCGTGAAACGACCAAAATACCGCCATTATTTTAACTATTAAAATTTTTCCGGTGAAATTTTACCGGCAATTTGGCCGGAGTGACTAAAATTGACAAAAATTGTATAGTTAAGGTATTAAATTGACACTTTTAAAAGTCAGGGACTGAAATTAACAAGACCCCTATAGTCATATGACCAAAATTGCAATTTCCTCGTTTTTTCCCTTTGAATTTATTTTCCCTAGTATATCTATTTTCAACTATAATTAGAAGCATAACTAGCTGTTACAACTTAGACATTATACTATTCATAGTGAAAAATGCTATTTTTCCTACTAAAATTAGTCTTAAACGTGACGTTATGGGGCGTTTGGTAAATAGTTGTTAACTGATTGAGTTAGTGAGTTTAATTAGTTGATAGTATTAACTGATTGTAGAAAAGTGTTTGGTAAATTAACTGTTAGATGTTAGCTGATTAAAAACAAAATAACTTTCAGAATACGATAAATGTTATTTGTACATGAAATTGTGCATGCGGATTTAGTTCAATCATTATTGTGTTGACCATATTTTGTTATATTATAAAATAATGTACATTCAATACTAAAATAATGTACATTGTATTCAAGGAATGTACATTATTTTTGTACTGAGTGTACATTATATTGTATGATGTACATTCAGTATAAAAATAATGTACATTCAGTATATTACAAATGTACATTTTGTTATGATCCACATAACACTATGTGGATCATGGTCCACACAATAATTTGCCCATTTATTTTCACAATCTTTGACTTTTATTGACTCTAAATAATCTGTTAATTTTAGCATAAATTAATGAAATAAATTTGTAGAATATTCAAGTTTTTGAACTTATTTGAAATAGGGTTATAATTGATTTATTTATTTATTTATTTTTTGACGAGGGAAACATGTAACCATAATTTGAGGATAAAGAGGTAATTAATTTAGATTGTCCAATAACTGATTAGTTTAAACTAAGAAGATTAATAGGTAACTTCTGTTGAGAATCAAATTTAAAACTATGTAGTTACTATGCCATCTCTAACCAACTTCACTGAGATTGCTCTATAATAATTATTTTTTTATTTACAAAAAAGAAAAAAAAAAACACGTGACCACCACTCGAAGGATCGAAACCATTAATCACGGATAGTTATGCTGTGCGTCCGTATGCACCATGCATGGTGCATACGGATGCCAAAACGACGTCGTTTTATTAAAAAACGCGCGTCTCCCCTTTAAAAAAAATTCAGGTTCGATTCCCAGCAACAACATTATATTGTTCATTCATTCTGGAATTTTAGTTCATAGATTATGGAATTATAGTTCATTGATTATGGAATTATAGTTCATCGATTATGGAATTGTAGTTCATCGATTCTGAAATTTTAGTTTATAGATTATGGAATTTTAGTTCATTCATTCTGGAATTTTTAGTTCATAGATTAGATTATGGAATTATAGTTCATCGATTATGGAATTTTAGTTCATATGTTGTTGCTGGGAATCGAACCTGATTTTTTTTTTTTTTTTTAAGGGGAGACGCGCGTTTTATTAAAACGACGTCGTTTTTGCATCCGTATGCACCATGCATGGTGCATACGGATGCACAACATAATTTGCCATTAATCATTCTATTTATATTTAGGGATAAAGGTCAAATAGGCCTTCTAACTATATACCAAAGTGTAATTAGACTTTTAAGTTTAAAAAAAAAATTCAATTAGACACTTAAACTTGTTAAAATTGTGCAATTGATCTATTTAATTAATAGGATACCAAAAGGTCAATCAATTTTGCTTATTTGACATCAATGAGGAATCTTATTCAAAACTTTAAAAAAAATATTTTTTTAAAAAACTTTTTGATATCTTCTCTATCTGATCTGGACAAGGAAGTTGATGACTTCTCCACCTGATTTGATGGAGAAACCCGCCAAACTTCTTCGTCCATGGAAGCTTGGTTGCCATGGACAACTGTCATGGCGAGCTTCTCAGTCTAGATTGGATGGAGAATCCCGCCAAGCTTCTTTGTCCATAGCAAAGAAGCAATTGTTGACGGTATTTTTTTTATTAAAAAATTAATATAATAATTTTAAATTTTATAAAAAATATAATTATTTTAAAAATATTAATTTACGTGGCATTCTGCATGACATGTAATTTGCAAGTAACATGTTATTATAAGTCAAATAAGTTACTTGCACAATTTTAATAAGTTTAAAGGTCTAATTTTTTTTTTTTTTTTTTTTTTTTAAATTCGATATCTTTTTACACTTTTATATATAATTAGAGTGTCTATTTTATTCTTATCTTTATATCTATGAATCTATGATTATGATGGTTGGTACGAGAATGTAAGCAATGACTTAACTGTATAAGCTTTTGGAAAATACAATACCAACAAATAATCGATAGAAAATCCAATTATCCAAACCTTATTCCTTAATCTCGATGTAACCACCATCTTGTTTGCTGATACTCTTTATAGATAGATGCTGTCACATACATACTACTATATATACATGTATATATTTATATATGTGTATATGCGTATGAATATCTATTTCTTTTTCTTCAAAATCCAAATCTTTTTATAACGGCATAATCTCTCTCTCTCTCTCTCTCTCTCTCTCTCTCTCTCTGTGCAAAGAGGCAAATCCTGAACACCACATTAGACCATTGAGAATCTCCGGCTTTTCATCCAAACCCATTTGACATAAATCTCATTTGGTCCTGGTAGATCTTCACTCCTGTCTCCGTCCAAAGTACCACCCACAAAGATCAGCTCTTTGGCTCTCTTGAAATCTGGGTTTTACTGTGTTTCTCTCTCTAAAGATCGAAAATGGGGGTGAAGATGATGAGGTGGCGGCCATGGCCGCCGCTAATTTCCAAGAAATTCGACGTGAAGCTTGTTGTGCGGAGGCTTGAGAATCTGGGAGATGGGGGGGATTGGGTGCAGGAGGGTGCAGGCGCTTGTGATGGGGCTTCGGTGGAGATCAGGTGGAAAGGCCCCCCTAGGGTTGCGTTGAGCTCCTTCAGGAGGACGGTGAAGAGGAACTGCACCAGAGAAGAGAGGTTCAAGAATGGCCCAGACGGCGCCGTTTTGGTCGAGTGGGATGAGGAGTTTCAGAGCGCGTGTAATCTCTCCGCCCACAGGGACAATGTCTTTCATCCCTGGGAGATCAGCTTCACTGTATTGTTGAATGTGAGTTCATTTTCTTGCCTTCTAATTTTTTTATTTTATTTTTTGTTTTCATTTTCCTATTCCTATTTTTCTAAATAAATATAGCTGTAATTTGTGGTCTTGAAAAAGAACAACAAATGGTGAAAGATAATAATTTATGATTTTGCTTGGATTTCCCTTTGAATTTCTTCCTTATTCTGTCTCCATTTGATGTGATATTCCTTTAAAATGTTTATATTATTGGATTCCTTTTCTCTTTGCTTTCCTTGGGGGTGGACTGGAGGGAGGTGTGATTACATAAAAATCATTCTTTAATCTGATCTGAATAATGAAATGGAAATGCCAAAAAGGGTATGACTATATGAGGCATCTTGAAGACTTGAACATGGTGTATATGTAAATTTTGAGTGTTTTTCATGCCTGTTGGTAATCTGTGGATCGAATTTTGTTACGGTTGGAAATAACATTGGTTTTATAAGATGGATGTTAGATGCAGTGTCATATGATGTTTTGGAATATAGCGGAGTTAGTTTGTCAGGATTTATGAATCCATCTTACTCGTTCATTTGGTAAGATGGGAACCTAATTTTTGTGTCATTAAAAAGGTTTGTCATCGTGTTAATCTCTGCTTTTATGATTTTTCATAACATATGTATGGATATCAGTGGCGGCTGCAAACAAGAAATACATGTAGAATAAGAGTGTCTATACTGTGGCATTAAAGGAATTGAAATTATTCTAAATCTATTTTCGTTTTTAGTTGATGTTTATATGGCAGTATTTCATATAAGGCCATGCAGTTTGGGTTTAAGAGATCCACTTTAGGACTTGTTTTAATGGTGTTGATAATACTGAAACTAAATTGTATTAAAATGCTTGCAACCAATTTGGAAAGTGAATATATTTTACTCTCCTTCTTGATTGCTATGTACCATTTTGTTTTGATGGTAGCTGGATTTGGAAAGAAGTTCCTTGTGTCGTGTTTGAAACCTAGTTGGTTTCTGTTATATTTTCAGGGGTTTCAAGGTGCTAAGAATAAGGCGCCTACTTTTGGAATAACCAGCATAAACCTTGCCGAATTTGCTGCCAAGACAGAAGAGAAAGAATTCAACATAAATATCCCGTTAGCCGTTTTGGGGTGTTCGTCAGAGTCTCACCCCTCTCTCTACGTATGTATCTATCGCTCTTAATGTTGTAAACTTATTTCTTCTCGGCACGAATTTGTATTTTAGACCTTGATTCATCGTGCAGGTATCGCTTAGCTTATTGGAACTAAGAGCTGCACAAGATTCGGTTGAGTCACTTCAGAGGCCTGTGGTGTCCGCCTCATCTCCACCGAGGTCGGGAGAAAGTTCATCGACCGAGAAAAACGAGCTTTCTGCATTAAAAGCCGGGCTCAGAAACGTGAAGATATTTACGGAGTACGTGTCGACAAGGAAAGCTAAAAAAGCTTGCCGAGAAGATGATGGCAGTGACGGCAGATGCTTGAGAAGCGACGAGGGTGAGTATGCGTATGCTTTTGACACCGAGTCACTCGATGAATTCGAGGAAGGGGAATCAGAAGACGGCAAGGACGACTCTGCAATAAGGAAGTCATTTAGTTATGGCACGTTGGCCTATGCTAATTACGTAGGAGTATCGTTTTATTCTAATAGAAGGATCAGTGCCGGGGATGAGGATTTTGTTTACTATAGCAATCGCAGATCATATGTGGGCTCACAGATCGAGGACCCGATTGCTTCTGTTCCGGTGCCAGTAGTTTTGCAATCAAAGCGTAGTATCTTACCTTGGAGAAAGAGGAAATTGAGTTTCCGGTCCCCGATATCCAAAGGGGAGCCATTATTGAAGGCGTATGGGGAAGAAGGTGGAGATGATATTGACTACGATCGTAGACAGCTCAGTTCTGACGAATCCGTTTCTTTTGGGGTAAGGATCTATTTATAGCTTTTTTCATGCGTAATTCTTTTTTTTAATAAATGTTATCAAGCCAATGATCTTGTGGTCTAGTGGCACGAAGTAGCTTTCCCAAATGGGAGGTCATGGGTTTGAGTAGTCCCAGTAGGGGCAGTATTGACTCTTTGTGCTTCAGTAGGTCGAGAAAGTAGCTATGAACAGATACTACATTGCAACAGAGTCAGTAGTACTAAAAAAAAATGTTATAAAGCATTAAATGTTTAACGTTTTAAATTCAATCTTATATGTAAGGTCTACAAGAAGGTCCTTATTTGGAACTCTTTCCTAATGTCTCCTATCTTGTAGTGGCATAAGGCCGAGGAAGATTCTAGTGCAAATCGATCTTCGGTGTCGGAGTTTGGCGATGATAATTTTGCTGTAGGCTGTTGGGAACAGAGCGAAATAACGAGTCGGGATGGAAACATGAAACTTGAAGCGCGGGTTTTCTTTGCTTCCATTGATCAGCGAAGTGAAAGAGCTGCAGGAGAAAGCGCATGCACGGCACTTGTTGCCGTGATCGCTGAATGGTTGCAGAGCAATCGTGATCTCATGCCGATTAAGTCCCAGTTCGATACCTTGATCCGAGAGGGATCTTTGGAGTGGAGGAATCTTTGTCAGGACGAAACTTACAGGGAAAGGTTTCCCGACAAGCATTTTGACCTCGAGACTATCCTTCAAGCCAAAATCCGTTCGATATCTGTTGTTCCGGGAAAGTCTTTCATCGGGTTTTTTCATCCGGATGGTATGGAAGATGGGAGATTCGACTTTTTGCATGGCGCTATGTCCTTCGACAATATTTGGGACGAGATTAGCGGTGCAGGATCAGAGTGTGCTAACGGTGAACCCCAGGTTTATATCGTCAGTTGGAACGACCACTTTTTCGTCCTCAAGGTTGAGCCCGAAGCTTACTATATCATCGATACTTTAGGCGAGAGACTCTACGAGGGCTGTAATCAGGCTTACATACTCAAGTTCGACAAGGATACAACTATCTATCAACTACCATCACCATCACCGCAAGAAAATGGCATTAGCAATCAACAGGCGCCCCCCGTTGCTCCTGTAGCAGAACCGAAGAATTCAAGTCCCGAGGAGGGTTCTGTTCCAGGGCTCGAGGAGCCGATGAAAACTGATGAGAAAGAGGAAATTCTGTGTCACGGGAAAGAGTCGTGCAAGTACTACATCAAGAACTTTTTGGCCGCAATTCCTATTCGAGAATTGCAGGCAGACATGAAGAAAGCTCTGATAAGCTCAACGCCTCTTCATCACCGGCTTCAGATCGAATTTCACTTCACCCATTTACAGCAATAACTGTAGTAGAAACTATTCGGGTATGCACTTCTCCGTAACTCAAGGCAGTAGAAACCCGTCGAGATTCCTAGCATAAATAGTTGAAGCTGCAATAATAATAACTCAAGTGTTTCCCCCCATAGAGTTTCAAATGTAAATTTAGGGAGTGTGATTAGATTAGTGTTCTTAGTTCTTGGTTTCTTTGTTTGTTCTCTCTTCATGTGTTTTGCCTTTCTCTTGTTTTGCATGAAAGGGATAACTGTACATCACTCTCTAATCTTCTATCTTCAATTATAAATACACCCTTGACACCTGTCATTTCTCAAATTACTATACAATTTCTTTTTGACAGAAGCAGAATTTGAAGATTTTGTGTTTGATTCCTTGAGTTGTGTAAAGATGATTGGAGCCAATTCAAGATAGCCATTTCATGTTGTGCAGTACTTATTAGCTGCAAAAGGTGACATTTTTGGCAATATTGTGTGCAAGCACATGAACAGATTCTTTTGTTTGTGTTCATTCTTGAAAACCATCAAGTGCCTTGCTTTTGATTTAGACTTTTAATTTATGGAAAAATCTGTAGCCGCTATTCGAACGTGCGCTATGGGTGATGCTCATCTTGTGACCTTAATTGGTAAAGGACCACAAAAGGTAAACCAGCTTAGGTTGCTCATAGCTGTCGATAGATAACTCCAAGCCTCCCACGAAGATTAAAACTTTTGATTTATGAGAAAGTCTGTCGCCGCACCAGCTTAGGTTGCCCATAGCGGCCGATAGATAACTCCCAGCCTCCCACGAAGTTTAACTTGCTTTTGGTTAAAACTTTTAATTTATGAGAAAGTCTGTTGCCGCTTTTTGAATGTGCTTTATAGGTGATGCTCGTTTTGTGATCTTAGCTGGCGGCTATAGATGACCTGCTCAAACCAAAAAGGTTGCTAAATAAGTCCCAGCAACCTCGAAGTTAGAACCATGTTGACTGCAACTTGGAACCCTATTACAATGTTGACTGGAACATTACTTGATCAAATACCAACAAAAAAAGGGGAAGAAATGGAGTACAGGAAACGATTGTCAGAAAGATGCTTGCTGTGCTCTTTATGTGAGAATGACTTCCACAGTTCCACTACCTGTTAGTTTTTGAAAAGCTTCAACATCCTTTTTCCAGGGATTGCCTGTTTGCAAATCTTTAGCTAACCAATTTTGAACCAAACCACCTCAAATTCTCTTTGGTGGTGAAGAAAACTCCTTCACGCGAGCAGAAAAATAAGGTAGAGAGGAGTGAGAGGTTTCATAGTCTACAAATGCTCTGCACGGATCCAATTGTTATAAAGTGGGTCATGGTGTACAGTGCTAGGTGGATCATGGTCGTCAAATGAAACTGTAATAGAATTAAAATGATACTCCAGTTGCTATGATAAAATTAGTATGTGTAGAAAATGAAACTAGAAAATAGAACTCATTCAACAACGTATATTGTCAAATGAAACTGTAGTATAATTATAATGAAACTAGTGTGTATAAGAAATGAAACTAAAATTTAGAGTCATATAATAACATATATTGTCAAATGAACCTAGAGTGTAAGAGAAAATTTCAATTTTGGTCTTATGACTATAGAGGTCTTGTTAATTTCAGTCTTCGACTTTTAAAAGTGTCAATTTAGTACCTTGACTATACAATTTTTGTCAATTTTGATCACTCCGGTCAAATTGCCGGCCAAATTTCGCCGAAAAATTTTAATAGTTGAAATAATGAGGGTATTTTAGTCATTTATCTCTTTTCTTTTTCTCCTGCGAGTCTACCATGTTTCAGTTGTTTCCGGCGAGTTCTCCCTGCTTCGAAAGCACAGGCGAAGCGGCTCAAGGCCTCTTTTAAAACCAAAGTGGCCTTGAAGAAAGGAAAACCGAGGAAGTACGAGGTCGCCGGCTGGTCAGAGAAAAAAGGAAAAGGGTAAAATGACTAAAATATCCTCATTATTTTACCTATTAAAATTTTTCGACGAAATTTGACCGGCAATTTGACCGAAGTGACCAAAATTGACAAAAATTGCATAGTCAAAGTACTAAATTGACACTTTTGAAAGTCGAAGACTGAAATTAACAAGACTCCTATAGTCATAGGACCAAAATTGAAATTTTCCCTAGAGTGTAATTAAAATAGTACTTTAATATTACTATAATTAAACTAGTGTGTGTGAAAAATGAAACTACAAAATAGAGCTCATGCAATAATGTATATTGTCAAATGAAACTGTAGTAGAATTAAAATGATACTTTGTTATTGTTATAATGAAACTAGTGTGCGTGGAAAATGAAACTGACAAACATAACAATATTGTCAAATGAAACTGAAGTGTAATTAAATGATACTTATTTCATGGATCACACTTCTACATGCACCATGATCCATAGTAAAATTTTTTGCACGGACCGTACCTTGTCCAAAAAGCTCTGGTTGAACATGCTTGGTTAGCGAAGGGCTTCCGGAATTCAGAATTCAAGTGGCGTTGAAGTGCCTGCGACTAGGGATGTCAATTGGACCAACCCACTAGGTCGTGGGCTAGCCCTATACAGGGTTGTTGGGCTTATTGGTTTTGACTAAATGATTTTGTTTTGTTTAGTTTTTTGGGCTAGGTTGGTCCTAACCTTAAAATACGGACTATCAAACTTATCTAGCGATCTAAATCAATAAACTAAAATAAAAAGGATGCGAGCGAGTGGGTATCCACTTATTTTCAAATTTTAACTCAAAATAAGTTAAATTATGATGATTGCAATACACACTTCAATTTTTCATGTAATAAAGTTCAATTGGCGTTTGGTTTTATAAGGAAAAATAAATTAGTATTTGTTTTTCAAAAAAAAAAAAAGTTAAATTATTTATTTTGGATAAAATTATTTATTTCATCCAAAATAAGTTAAATTTAATAATTTAATAATTAATTCCAATTCAAATCATTATTTTCAAATTTCAATTAAAAAACATAATCAAGCATTAACAATGAATTTAAGTTCCAAACATAATCATAATTCATATCAGTGGCGGAGACACAATGAAGGCAGTGGGGGCAGCTGCCCCCACTACCCTACCCCACATAAATTGTATATATACTAAATATACAAAGATTTAAACAAAGTTTGGGTTGACTTTGATGGTAAGGCCATTGTTTTACCTCCTAATATGAATGAAAGGCCGGCTTCTTTTTTTCCATCTAATGTTAATAATATTCTAATATCCACTTAGTTGCCATTTGTTTGTTTGTTTGTTTGTTTGTTTGTTTTTTTTTTTTTTTTTTTTTTTGTTTTTTTTTTTCTATCTACTAATATTATAATATTCTAATATTGCCTTTTGTAACTGTGTTTAGTTGCCATTTATTTTTCATTACTTATGCATTCTATTTAGTTGTCATTTGTTTTTCACTATAGTTGCCATTTGTTTTTCACTACTTATGCATTTCATTTGTACTAATGTAGTTGTTTAATGGTTATGTTAATTATTAAGTACGAATACATTTGCTGGAAATTCGTTAATGTTAGTTGGCATAGTTGTTTATTTGGAATAATTAGTTAATGTTAGTTAGCATGTAGTTGTTTAACAATTTTATTCATATTTGATATTTTTGTATTTTGTATTTGAACATTTTTTAATTCATTTTACCTTTATTTTTCACCCCCACTCAACATAAATCCTGGCTCCGCCACTGATTCATATGCCACAAATTCACAATGAACACTAAAGTTCAAAACAAAAAATGCCACAAATCCACAATTAAGATTAAAGTTCAAAACAAAAAAACAAATCAAACGTAAAATAACTATTTTCTTTTCCCTTATTCTCCCCCCTCAATAATGGAAGCTCCAACTCCAGCTTCACCAACATAATCTTCATCTTTATCTAAAAACGATAACATTTATTTAATAGTACAAAAAATAAATCAAACTTGATAAATATGATTCAAAGTAGGTCCAAGTCATGCAAGGAGAACTCTATCATTTTGAAATGAATGATGTATGGGAGATGGTTCCTAGACCTTCGCACCTAAATGATGAACAGAAAGCACATCAAATGCCATTTTAGCAAGCTCCCCGTAAAGTTGCTCTTTTTCTTTTCAATACAAGAGTACATCTATATCATCCAATTGATTTATTTGCACTTCTTCCAAATATTTGCCTAAATTAGACTTCGAATCTCGACTGCCACTTTCAGCTTTGCTTCGATAATCAATATAACCCTACATAATTTAAGCATTTACACATGTTAACCAATAACAAATAAACAAAAATGATTAACAACATAAATGTATGTGTAAATATAAACTAAAAAGAATTAACTTACAGAAATAAGAGCTTCACCCAATTTTTCGTTTCCTCCTCTACTTCTCAATTCTCCCCTCTATATTCCACAAATATTTGTTACCAAAGATTCTTGTGATTAAGTAAAAACTCTAGAAGATGAAGAACCAACACTCTTCTTCTTATAAAAATATTCCACAAATTACACTTTCAACCTTGGATATAAAATAACTCCCATTGCAAGTATTACACTGCACTCATCCCAATACTTGTTAAACTTCAATTTCATATTCATAGCCATATCCTTTACTACTTCATCCTCACTTTCTAAATTTTCAAGCAACAAACATTCAATCTTCCAAACTTGCAAAAAATATAAATTTGAAGTAGGATAGGATGAACTTGAAATCAAGTTGGTGATACACATCCTTTCCCATCTTGACCACTTTTCATCCAAAAGACAACACTTGTAATTTCTATCCTTTAATCCAAAAGAGCAAAAAACACGACGATATCACATAGAACTATCAAGCATCACATAAGTTGAATTCCAACGAGTTGGAACATCCAAAGCAAGTGCACAAATAATATTAACACCAACACTTTGAGAACATTCTTGAAATGATATCATTCTTGCTTCAACATTTTTACATACTTAATGCTCTCGCTAATTTTTCTTAATTCAACAGTAGCGACTTTCAATGCATCTTAAACAATCAAATTCAATATATGTGCACAACACCTTACATGAAAATATTCACAATCACAAAGCAAACTATTTTGTACCAAAACTTTCTACTTAGAAGTCTCACCATCACATCATTAGCAGAAGCATTATCCAAAGTTTTGGAAAACACTTTACTATCAATCTACCAAGCAGTCATAAACTTTCCTAGACAATTCAAAGCCAGAATGTGGAGGAGGCATATCACAGAATGAAAGTATTTTATTAATCAACATCCAATTTTCATCCACATAATGCACAGTCAAGCATATATAACCAGCATTTGTACAAGCAGTCCACACATCGCATGTTAAACA